AATATTTATTATTATTTCGAGTTCGAATATATAGATAGATAAAAGAAAATGAAATTTTATTTTATTTTACTTACGAAGGACCATCATCATAAGTTATACCCCATACTATGTTTCATAAAAATTAATTAATAATTAATTAATTAAATACACTTAATTATAACAAAACAATAAAAAATTTTGAAATTTTACCATTTTTATCAGGACAACGATCATAATCAGTAGTTTGATTTATGCAATTTGTACAACTCCAATCACAAAATGGGTCATTAGCAAGACAATCCGAACCTACTTTATTTTTTGGAACAATTGGAGCATTTGGGACTTGACTCAAGTCGATTGCCCATTCTGGTTTAAACGGTGGTGGTACATCAACTGGTGGATAAGTTGTAGTAGGCACTTGCGCCTCTGTGAATATTGCAGATGACAAAATAGCAATAACAACAAATAATTTCTTTGCCATGATTTCTTCGTGATTTTATTATTAAGCAAATTTTTTTTACTAGATTTTTTAATGTTGTTATTGTTATAAATGTCTTTATTTATGACAAAAAGATGTAAAACAAATTTGTTCAAAGAAAAAAAAAATTTCAGAGATAAAATGGACTGAACAAATCATCAAAGAAACAGTTGGCGTGACTCCTCGCTTTATGAGACCACCATATGGCGATATAGATAATCGTGTTAGAGGTGTACTTGCCTTATTAGGATATAAAGTTGTTATATGGGATCATGACACAGATGATTGGAAGTCAACATATGCAGGTTTTGTACCGGATTCTATTACTACAGATTTTACTGAATGGGCAAAAAATACAACCGCAACCACTGGTCATATTTCTTTGGAACATGACTTGTATCCTATAGCTGCTAAAATGGCAATTCCATCCCTTGATATTGTTTTGGGTGCTAATTTTCAAGTAGAACAAGTGGCCAAGTGTGTATCTGAATCTCCATATCGTGAATTTATTGGTTTTCCTGGTGATAATTCTACTAGCCCAACTCCAGCAATTACTACTAGTGCCATGACACCAACTACAGCAACGGCATCGACAGCGACGCCAATATCATCACCAAAACCATACAGTTCTAACCCATCATCATCATCATCATCAATA